TTCTGAGTTGTATCACTTTTCTATCAATGCAGCGAATTATTTCATAATGATAATACAATTAAAAATATATTAGTATCTTTAATTATCTTTAATTATCTAAATGTCAAAATTAACTTTAATTCTTTTTAAAAGAAATACAGTGAAAAATCAAGACGGAAGTAGATTTGAAAATCTCTATTTGAAAATATTTTCTCAATAAATTCGTGGTTTCGAAATCCAAAATTCGTAATCAAATTTGACATTTTTATTAATACCGAGAGGAATCATCGCCGGTACGGTAACCCATTTCGGTTACCTAACCGGTCGCTGACGAGGACATAAACAATCCGCGTTTCCGTCTGACTCGTCGGCAACCAGTTCTATTTTTGTGGCCAGCTTAAAACGTGCGCACGGTTGAGCAAATGGAGAAACGAACGTGTAGAAAAGGGAATAAAAATATATCATACGCAATACTAGAGCATTGAACAAATCTACAAACATGTATTTACGAACAGCTTGTTTTTTCACTTTATATAGAAGAAATTTTGACAGTAACTCGATTTAGATGTTTAAGAAATTACGAATTATGTTTAGAGCACTAATAGAATGATATTAGAAATTAATGAAAAAAAAATGTTTGCACTTGTTTAAAAAAGATATCAGTAATCCGATTTATAAGTAAAAGAATAAAAGATTTTGACAAATTAAGCTGCATACATAAATACATAAATGATGATACGTTAATCTTAGATTTTTAAATAGATGTACTGGTATATTCATTTTTCCGATAATCGTTATCGACACATAAATTAAAATATCATGTTCTGAAATGCATTTTAAATCTTGAAATGATATTTATATGAAAAACCAAAAAAAAGAGTTGATTTTTATTTATCTAAATGTTAAGCAAAATAGACGATAACTCTGGATTACTCTGTACGATTATAAGAAAATAGTATTTTATCCGATTGTCATTACATATGTTTATTTCTTAGATATCGACATTTTTACAACATCAATGGAAATGCGGTATAAAAAATCATTAATTATTTAAAATAGATGTTTACGTCTAGTGTGTAAACTATAACTATTATTATTGAAAACGTAAAAGTAAACAACAATTGATTGACACACTTGTTGCAACGATATAGTAACGATATCTGGCATGAACATTAATGGATGTGCGTAATATCGTTTGGCAATGCTAGTTAATCGTACACCTATAGTAATGATTTCGCTTTGATAGAATGCAAAGATAACAGTAATAATATTAATAAGCAAAAGTAACAATATAGTATATTTGGCGTAATGTTGTATAGATATAATGCATTATAATAATATTATAAAAATAATAAATATTAAATAACAATAACAGTAGAAATAATATTATTTTTAACAGAGATCTGGGGTGTAACAATATAGCTATTATATATACGTATAAATGTAAATGTAAATGTGTGTGTGTGTGTGTGCGTGCGTGCGTGCGTGCGTGCGTGCGTGCGTGCGTGTGTGTGTGTGTGTGTAATACTTAAAACAGATTTGTCAAATTTTATTTAAGTTAAAAATTTTTATTTAAGTTACGACGCATAGAAAATAAGCCGTCAGTAAACTACTCCAGTAGTCGTATTATTATAAAAACAATGCATTTGCTGTTACTAATTTTAATTAAAATTTAATATTTTATTTTTTATAAATATTTACATAATTTTTTATCCCTCTTAAACACATTGATTCTAATTCATATCTATAAATTATCTCCGAATAGGTATTCCGTAGCGTTTAGCGTGCTTCTGCTGCACAAATGCGCTTTGTTACTACTGACAGTAGTATCCGGTAATGATATGACACGCCAGTAGTAGCGGCCGTAATAGAGGCAGTAGTAACAAGCGGCATCGCGCGGCATGCTAAGGAGAAAGAGAACGAACTAGAAAGAGAGAGAGAGAGAGAGAGAGAAAACGCGGACGATTCTATATCCGTGCAGACGGGTGCAGGCGAATCCGCGAAGCCGTATTAGGGAAGGCGCTAGGTTCTCCACGATAGCAGTCTCCTCGTTTTACCCCTACCGTTCAATCGCACGCATATTCGTGGATGGAATGCGTAGTAACCTAACGCGTATCCTGTCACGCCGATAAGGCTGCAAAATGTCCCTATATGTCAAAATATTACGTTACACGCAAAAATAAAAATCAAGACTAACTTGAAATTTATAAGATTTATCTATTATTTATATTAAATATCTTTTAAATAAATCTTTCAGTTTTGCATATAATTTATATATTATATAATTAGTTACTATCATCGAATAATAATATATTACTATTATCGAAATTTGCAAATTATTAAAATTTATTTTTTTATTTATAGAATATATTATTAATATTATTAAAAATATACAGTATACATCGAACCATGATTCGTAATCTTTATTTTTAGAAAATTTAAATACTAATGTTAAATTGTTGAAATGAGTCATGATTGAAAAATATGCGCAATATACCGACGAGTGCTATAATTAAAATGGAAATATGTATAATAATGATACGAAACGGCCAAGAATGAGCAATTATAACGATGTGGTAAGTGTTGGTACTAGCATACGTGTGAATCATCGATTTGATAATCATCATAAATTCTTATATTTTATAAAATATTTAAAGATCGCATATTTTATATTTATAGCAAAAAAGATAATTTACCGTACATCGTAAATGAGAAAATGACTATTGGACAAAATAAAAGTTTCTTTTATCTTTGTACGTATAAAATGTAGTATAAGTTTTATATACATTGCGTAATTTGGCTTCGTTCTTAAAATTTCGATCAATTATTTATTTCAATAACTTTTAAAAATATACGATATAGGTACACATCGAACCATCGAAACCGCACAATCTTTGTTTTTAGGAATTTCGAATATCAGTGTTTTAAATATGTCTAATGTATTCTTAAACGTCGTTAACTTTATCTTATCGCGTTAAACATTTAAATGTTTAAACAATAGTCTTTTTATATATTCGTTAGAGAAAAGCCATGTTCTTTTCTGTTCTCGCAATTAACTATCTATGCAATTAACTATCTGCTTACAAGTAAAGTTATAATAATTTTATAAAATAAGTATTGGAACTGTATGGTTAATCACATTTGCTCAACAAGGTAATATCTCGTTCGTTAAATTTATTTGATAACTTAATTCGTTGAATTTATTTGATAACTTAGTTTAATGAGCACTTTGCTAGCCGACTGTTCCAGCAACTAATAATAGCGGGGGAAAATATGTGCGTATTTTTAAAATTAACAAGATTGATAACACACACGAATACATGTGATAATCATACCTTTTATGATTGTGATATGCAACCTTATTTTATGTAAAATTTATTTAAGCATTAGATACCGTAAATACTACTTACAATCTATTCTAAAGTTTTAATATGAAAAGATTTTGTTACTTATGTTTTAAGAGTCTATATAGTTTTTTAGATACAAAAAGTATCATCAGTGTTAAGTTAATTCATTAAAATTGTTAAATTTAATTAATTAGAATTCATCTATTATGTATTGATTAGAAAAGTACAAGCTTTAATTTTTGCATATTAAATGTGATATTTCTACTATTTTTATTCCTTCATCTTCTCTAACGTCTTAAGATCGGTGGGCACAGCTTAATTTGTCAATTTTATTAATATCTTGTATGTCTAATTATAACGTAATATGGATTCTATGTTCAGTGATCGTGACTCTATTTTAATCTCTGCATGAGATTAGATATTAAAGACATTAAATTTTCCAACATGCCATATTCATCTTAGACAGCACAGACATCCCTTGCCCTGTCCATCTAATATGTGGCGGTTCACTACGCCAATTATCGTTAAATCTTGTTAACTTTGTCTATATTATTGAATAAGGCTATAAGATGGTCTACTTCCAATTCGAAATTGGTTTTTGACAGAATCCTTCAACATATAAAAATATATCCTAGCTAAACTTTTGACTTAAAAGGATTGATTTAATTCTATTAATTGATTTAATTAATTGATTTAATTGTATCTCTATAAAAATTGAAAAATACGCAAATTAATAATTTAAAATAAAACATATTGCGTGATTTAAAAATAATAGTAGTTCTCTCTCTCTCTCTCTCTCTCTCTCTCTCTCTCTCTAAAATTGAAAATTGGTTAAGATCCAGACAGTTTATTTATTAATTTTATTAAAAGGGATTAGAAGTTGGCTGTATGGGCAAATTGGCAAATTTATTGCATTTTATTAATAATTTAATAATAATTTCATGTGAGGATATAAATTTTTAAATATTTTTATAAATAGAAGTAGATCAAAATTTTATAAACTATATAATTTAGCGTTTACAATAATTTACTATTATTTAAGAAAGATCTTCACTTGATTAAACTAATCTTTATAAAAAATTTTGAAAATTCTCCACGATATGACAATTCACCCAAGTAGCTGACCTGGCGTATGCATTCAAAGCCGTCGATGAATATCTTTCATGGCACTTTATGAATCTCAGTACTTCAGAAGGAGACACATGAGGAAAACAGACAAATCACGAGGCTGAGGTAAATCACGCTTGCAATGATTCTACGTGCACTTCTTTGAGCGATACATATGTTTGTGTATTGTCGTCGGTGTCATCGGTATTTGCGGCATCGATCGATGCGGCTAAGAGAGAAGAGTATCGTCATCGATAGTAGTACAGAAGTGTCTGATAGTAGTAGCAGTAGTAGAGTAGTATATATATCCGCCACACTGTTATCTCTTGGTACTCACCACTAATCGATCGTAGTCACGTGAGAAAAAGAAAAGAACAGATAGAGAGACAAAGAAACAGAAAGAGAAAGAGAGGAGAATTCGAATAAGTGAATTACAAAACACCGAGCACTCTACACCGCACTAATACTGGATTCGAATGACTGTGCTCGCGTCGGGAGCGTCCTAGTCATAGCCCCTCAGGCTTTGCACACGGCACGTGTGCATTGGGAACGTCAATGCTGTTGATGATGCTGTACCGCCGGTGGCGGTGACGGCGAACACCAAAGGGCAGCGGAGATTCTTTACTGAAGTAAAATTCAGGTCTTTAGGTCGAAATGTCTACTAATAATCACAAACTTGACACACACTTCAAAGTCTAATAATGATTTTTATTAAAAGAAAAATGCTTTGAAATTTAATTTAATTCTCAATTATAACCTGTTAAAATCGATAATCTTTTATTATTTGTGAATTTACATTTCCTTATATTTTATTCAATTTTTATAATACATAAAATTATAAGAACGTTTATTTGTTTAATTTTTTATTTTTCAACAATAATTGATTCAATTTCCCTGTTCATTTAGTATATCTACATATTATTTTATTATATGTTATACATTTTTTACTGACATTTAATAAAATTTCGCGGTATCTAATATAATTAAATTGATCAAATAAATGATCTACGAAATTAATTAATATTTAAATTTAAAACTTAATGATTATATTTGTCATAGTGTTGCTCAATCGACTTTATACTCAAAGTTTTATACCATATTTTTGTTAGATACTTATTAGATACTACTTAGGACATTATTTATAAAAATGTAGCGACACTGCATAATGAATTGAAGAGAAACAAGGGTAGTAAAGCTCTTTACAAAAATAGATTTAAAACAATGATTTTATTTTTAGAAAATATAATATTCGAACACTATAGATTAGCAGTAAAGACACAATTTAATAATTATTTTTATTCGAATAATTATTTTTATATTGAGAACCCCAAAAAAGAGGCAATCAATCATTGTAATCAGTCAGCACATTTAGAGGGCTACACCTATTAACAAAATGTCATACTATCGTTTAACTTGGCATAACCTGAAATGTGTACAGCCAAATAAAATAACGAACAATATACTCCAGTGTATATGTATATATAATTATAAAATAATACGTTCAAGTTTATAAGAAAAATGAGAAAATATGTATAATTAAATGCTAAAATGTACCTTTAGAACATTTCGAAATGCTTAAAAGTAAAAATGCGTTATAATAAACGCCGATTATTGGTACATTAGCACCAATTTATAGTGTAACGGAGGATTACTGAAATGGTTTCATAAATAATCTTTAGAATTCCCCATCTAATAGGAAATATTAAGAGGGATCAAATATTAACCTATAGGAGTTCTAATATCTTTTCCTCTATCAATAATTGAAATCATCATTTATTTTGAGATAAGAAATTAGCATCTTCCATACTTTTTTAAGAAATTCATTATTTTTTAAAGATAGTAAAAGATTAATGAAACATAAGAAAAAAACAAAATATGTATATATTTTTAAAAATAAATTTATTATTCTTCTTTTTCAAAACATTTAAGGGATTAACTACTTTTTATTTTGAAACAAAAGTATTTTATTCAGATACCAAATGTTTATTCGTGTATATAACTTTAAGTCTCGGAATGATATTAGTTACTTCAAAATTGATAAAAAGTTATAATACATAAATAGTATGACAAATTATAATACATATTTTAGTAGCTGGCATGCTACAGAACTCTCAACATACTGAACATGACCTGTCTGCAAAAAGAAGCAACAGAAATGCCTCGCAGTCTAGTAGGTGACACTTACGTATATCACAGATTAATAGTACGTTATTTTTATCCACGACAAAGATAAAAGTGAATCATTATTGCAATATTATTATTCTTATTTGGATGAGATTATTTCGATAAGAATATTTTAATTAATCAAAGTTTTACTTATAGCTAACTCAAGTTTAAGTAAATTAGAAAATATATATTCTAGGAATAATCCTGAATTACGAATTATTAAACGTCACACTAACAAAAACAACATTTGGGTATGGCATATAGTAATTTGCTTATAACTTTCATAAAAATGAACATATTGTAAATAATTTTTTTTAATCGAAATACCAGACATTAAGAAACATATCAAGCAAATGTAGATATGTATAGCTTTATTAATAAAAAAAAAGTTTAAAGCATTGAAAAAAGAAAGCCGAATGTGCCATACCGAAAAGACGTTTAATGGTTAAATAAAGAAATAATATTCTTTTTGTTTAATTATACTCTTTTCTAGAATCAAGTATATTTAAAATCAATATTTTAGCTTTATAAATTATTACCTCTGTAAGTTATCTTTTTTGTAATTGATAAACACCTTTCTTACTAAATGCTATAAAAAAAATATTAAAAATATAATATAGCTTTTGAAATAGAATTTTTCATATTTGATATCCCATATATGCCTACATTAAAATACATGTGAACATTTATACAAGCAACTTTGGAAAATGTAAATCTTCGAAGACCCATGACGGAAAATTCCACCCCGAAAAGAATTACGATCGTGTCGGAAAGTAAAAATACATCGAAGATGTGAAGAATTCCACAGTTAATGAAACATAGCAAAAATATTTGGAGCTGTCGTTTAAACGACTCCCACATGCTTGATTTTTTTCTATGAATAGTTCCAATTTTATAAATATAATTTTAACAAGTATTAAATTAAACCGATTGAAAATTTTACGAAATATGATGGATAATCATTGTACAGATGGTGCAGACTTTTTGTGTAATGATAATAATGCTGATAAAACAGCATTTTTATTAAATTTTATTTATTTGTGTTATAGTAAGAACGGAATTTTATTTTTTATTACATTATTATACTATTATATATGTCTAATATAATATATTTCTTTTTACATTTTCTATTACAATACAATCCATTTTCTTAACTTTTTCGAATTATTTGCAACATTAAATTGTACTGCATAGTTAATACATACAATGCATATTACTAAATCTTTTTGTAAAGAATTCTCAATTGAGATAATGGTCAAAAAGTTAAGAGTGATCGATGCACATTCTAAAATTTAATTCAACAGCCATTAAACAATGATAAAAAGTATTTTTTGTAATTCACTATGCTTAAGAATCATCAACTGGTCTACAGTTCCTGGGCTAATGGGTGCTTTCCGCGTTCCCGAGCACCCCTTCGTTCCGACCGCGGGATTCCTCATTTCGACGAAAGTGGCCGAGAGTAGTGTAAGAGTGGTAGTAAGTACACGAGGGGATCGCTATCTCTCGCCTTTTCGTAACTAGGTACCGTCACCGTAGTGAGTGCTATGGTAAGAAACCGCGCTGGCCACACACTCATCGTCTAATAATAATATCTTACTCAAATTTCTATTTTTAGGGAGATATACGTGTACGCGCACGTGCCTTTATGTAAAAGGCCCAAGTATATGGTTACGCACGCCTACGTGCGGGCTGCGCTTACAGTTATGAAGACGACGACGTCTCGAATTATTATTGCATACCGGCGGAATGTAATGTGTCTGTCGTGGACCTAACAATGTAACAGACAGATGAATAACAGAGCGGCAACGCTAAGAATTCACGTGATAAAGCTTTAGTTCTCATTGTTAGAAATAGTATAAAATATGTTTATGTTAACTGATAACAAATATTAACGCTTAGTCGCAATTTCAAACTGCTTTTAGGATAAATAGGTGTGTCATTAACTATTGCATAGACAGTAACTTTTTATAACATGTTACGTAGGTCATGTATGTATGTATAACATAGAGATAGTGCCGACCAGAACAAGTAACATTTTATGTAACAATGCGACTGTAGTACGCGAAATTTAATTAGTTTTCAAGACGGTTTGCGTTTTACACATGTAAGGTTTACACTGAAGATGGCTCGAATTTGAACCGAACATACGATTTTGTATAACTTATGTTTTTATTAAAGATTTTTTATTCGGTAAAAATAACTTCTTGATTTGCGTATTGACAACCGCGCCTTGATATTTATCTTGTTCGAATTTTGAGGAGTCTGAACCTTGATATTGTAATTTGTTTAGTGCCGTAAAGTTGCTATTTTCATAAATGTGAATATAATCTTATTTTTTCATTTAGTATTGTAAATGTTCTGTATATTTAAATACTGAAATTACAAGTAAAAAGAAGCTAAAGTAAGCAAATAGTATTATATGTGTGTATATTACGTATATATACATATATATACATATATATATAGATACATATACATACGGTATTTTTCAATAAATTTTGACCAATTGTTTATAGATATGCAATATATCTATTGCATGTCTGTAAACAATTTGATCAAAATATATTTTTAATTTGTTATTTCAATATTATTTAGATATTATAAAACATATGCAACTTTAAAAATAAGAAAATAATGAGAGAGAGAGAGAGAGAGAGAGAGAGAGAGAGAGAGAGAATGAGAGAGAGAGAGAAATTATGAACTTGATGTTTTTATTTTAAAGATTTATATTGTAGAGTTAAATACGAGGTTTACCCTCAGGGTATTGTACGATGTTACTTGTTAATTGTGGTATACATAGAGCTGATTACAGTACTAAAAAGGAAGGGAAAAATGGAAAAATAAAGCGTATCTAAATTAATAAAAAAATTATTTATCGCTTTAATAAGTAATTTATTTATCGTATACTATTTTTACATACGCAGTGTACACGTACATAAAGCACGAGTACAATCTCACGTTTCTCTCTTCATCAGCGCTCCTGAAGCGTTGCGTTAAACCGTTTCTGTTATCCCGCTAACTCGAATTTACTCGCCTAGCAGGCGGTGCTCGTTATTCGCTAAGCTTGACAAGTTTACGCGCCGCGGACTATTTGCTCGCGAAAGTAAACTACAGCATGCCCGCTGCGAAGTACGCGTGGACCTTCCGGGATAGTAGCAACGACGAAGGTGGCCGTAGTTTCCGGTATATTCTCAATCTAACACACTATAGGAATCCGGAATCCGCATTCGCGGAGTACGGTAAAGTCGTTTTAGCTTTTTACATAAAAGCCGCGAGCGCATTTATCGGCCTGAAAATAGAAATTTGAGCAAGATATTATTATTAGACGATGAGTGTTCTCGCGATTCTCAAATCGGTCCGCCCGTTTGTTACTGAAGAGCTGTCGGAGGATGGTCATCCATATTTCACATCCTCCTCCACCCATCTTTCTTTCTCTTTTAATCTATTAGCGCAGAAGGCCGCAGAAAATTAGAAATTACGCGTTGTCTTCTCGCAAAAATTTTATGTCTCATTTATTAGAATTATTTAACAAACTATTCTTTATCTTTTACACACACACATTTATATTCATCTCAGTATGCATATTTAAGCATCATTAATTATATGAATTATATAACATTATTTAATTAATATATTTTTAGTAATAAACTTCTATAAGATTTATAAGATGTATAGTAGCTTAGCATCAGTGTATTAAATTGAATACAAGAGAGATCTATGTAATATATATAATAGAATATGATTTTTCATGAATTCTAACTTCCTTATTAATTTAGGCTGCGGTCCACTTGACGCTACAAACGCTTCGAAGCATTCTTTGATTAGTCAATTCGTAAAATTCTTTGGTCGCTCCAACACTTCGAAGGGTTTGTAGCGTCAAGTGGACCGCAGCCCCGCAGCCTTAGTTGTAATATAATAATAAAAATAAAGACAAATGAAAGCATAGCATTGCAATTATTGAGATGCCAACTTTGTTGTACAAAATACATTTAATTTAAAATTACATATATATAAGTTCAATCTTAATGTTTCGACTTCTCTTTAAGCCATATAATCTGCAATTTGAATCCAATGAGAAATGTATATATATATTATGCTCTATAATGTTTAGGATCGATTCTATAATATTCAAAATGATAAATATTTTCCTCTATATCAGTTATGCTGATATAATTCAGTGCAAAGCGCAATCACAAAATACAATATTATTTAATTGCGTTATGCACATAACTGATGGTCTCTATAATTATTTATTATTGATTCAATTTAATGTATACATAGTAAGCAGTGCATGATTTATTTAAAATCAAATTATTTAAAAACGAATTTTTGTACTGTACAAAATATTTTAGAGGAAAGTCGCCGATACCGACATATCACTTTGTTTTTAGACAATATTTCTTAAACAAAAGGTAAAAATAAAACTCTAAAAACGTAAGTACAAACTGAAAAGTATCTTCTATCAGATAGTATAAGCAGTTTTTATAATACTGTTTGCAATTTTGCAATAATTAATTTTTTCGTAAGGTAAGCAAAAATGAACGTCTGACAAAATGGGCTCCAAAACTGACACAGTAGGCAGTAATGCTACGTGTATTCATATTCTTTTTATTTTACAAGCATTATCTGTATAAAGTACCTACAAATAAATATATATAAGATTTTCCAGAATCTTTTCACTTCGTTATAAAACATTTTTATTGAATTATATGCATATTTATTTTATGCTGTTCTGCAAGATACAAATACCTAATGCGAAAGTTTTTCAAGAATTTTTCCACATATGCATGATTGCCTTCAGCTCCAATAGACTTATTTAATACTACAAAGCACCATTATAAAGATTAAATTGGCTCATGTCTGTTTTACAGACAGGTGTGGCGGTTTACGCTGCACCCCAATTTTAAATTTAAAATCGTATTATGAAAAGACTAAGAGAAAAAATGATATAAATAGAATTGATTTAGGAAACTACAAGCATTTAAACGACGTTTAAAATGACGTAATATTATCAATAATATAGTCACTATTATTTAAACCACGCAATTTGCAAAAGAGAATCATAAGAATTTTATTTTCGTAGAATTCGTTTTTAGCTGATTTTGTATAGAAACAAGCTATAAATATACGAATTATGAGTTTGTACTTCTGTACTTCTTTAATTAGCTAAACAGATCATGATTTTATTACTATTAATAAAGTGCAATAGTTAGTGTCTGAGAAATAAGGGGGTGTCACTTTAGAAGACCTATGTCAGTATCGACGACTTTCCTCTAATATAAAAATATTTATATATTTTTCAGAATATTAAGTTTAATTTTAATACATAATTATAAAAGACAGTATATCTAAATATATTTTCTGTATCAAAGAATATTATAAATGGCGCGCATTTTGTAATGTTTTAGTTTAGTAAAATTTGTAAAGAAAATCGTTCTTTTAATTATAATATGAGAAGAAACTGTCTTTAGAAGATTAATAAAAAATTTTGTAATTATATAATTTTATAGTTTCTTCCCAGATAGCACAAAGAGCTCAAAAAGAATTCAGTGATATGTCATTAATTCTGAATTCATTTTCAGATGCAAAAAGAATTCTTTTTCTGAAACGAATTCTTGTTGCATCTGAAAATGAGCTCAGAATTGATGACATTCGACTAAATTCTTTTTGAATTCTTGTGAACTCTCTGTGCTATCTGAGTTCATTAATATTGAAAATTAGTAACATAACTGTTATACACTTCAAAAGACATGAAAATATTCTCAGATCAGAAATACTATTCTCAATATTATATAACGATGACAAATTAATGCAAAGATTATATGGAATCTTTTATTAAATGTGTTTTCGAAAATGCATTTAAAATACTGCACTTAAAATAAATGATCATATACTGAGCACTTATTAAAAAATCAATTATTCACTAATAAAATTTAATCGCACGTACAAAAGGCAATCACAAGAAATCTAAAACGAAAAAGTACCTAGAAATGTATAACACTTTTAATACCAGTGGCATAAAAAATAAACATTTTTATCAAAAAAAGATTTGACTTTGAAATGTAATTTTAAAATATTTTTAAAATATTAACTTTTTAAGATCATTAATAATACTACTCAATAAACAACTGTTATAAGTGTCTGTCATCATTTTGTCGTCAAAACAACGTTAAAGACGTCATCATTTAATTTCAAAATGTCTCGCATTCAATCACATTTATTATTCTCGATAGCAGCCAAAACGATCGATGTCATCGTTTATCATTTATCTTCGAATCCACCGGGCCACGAAAATACCCAAGGCCGGTCATCTTTAGTAATATATACTTCGTCAATGTTGTTAGCAACTAAATATAGATGGCATACAATTTTTCATTTACCGACTGCGAGTAAGATAAGTTAGATTTTCATAAAATAAATCTGATAAAATGTCTATTTTTTATTTTTATTCTTATACTCTCAGAATTGGGGCACATCAATGCATATGATATAATAAGTTGAAGTAGAACAAATATATATTTGTTTTAATTCAACTTATTACACCGTGTGGTGCACCAGTTCAGAAAGTGCAAGAATAAATGGAACTGATCCAACCGACCTGTGATGTAAGTATTGTAGGTGGTGTTCGCTTTGTCACGATCAGTTGATTTTATTAAAATTATTCATAATTCTGATTTAGACTGAACTGATCAAAAATCGTGTAACGATATGTCGATTAAGCAAGGTGCACAGGTAATATAAAGTCCTATCAGGCAATTCAAAGATAGAAAATTATCTCTAAACTTAACCTCACGTTGTAGTGGTACTACAAATATCATAATTTTTCTAAATTAATAATATTATCCAGTTGTCATTATTATTGTAAATTTTTTTATTCATTCATTTATTACACTTATTTACTGTGTATCTGAATCAACATTCAAATTTATTGCATCTTTAATTGGAAAATATATGTGATATTTGTAATACTTATCTAT